TAAGGCCTCATATAATTTAGGTATCATTCTTTACATACACAAAAGAACACTTATTAGTGCATGATTAAGTGTCATAAATATTTAGAACAAAACCACATTTGTAAGAGAGAAGGCAGAATAAGTTTTGTGATGCAACAGCCTCAGATTTTTAGCTTTGGTTGCTGGCTAATTTGGGAAATAAACTGCAACTTATGTTAAACCCAGAGATGACTCTTCCTAAGAGCTCAGTTATGCAATTTTTCTTTACAGTAAGTAAAACTTATTCACAGGAGCAACCCCAGGGGCCAGCTCAATGTTACAAGAGGCAAAAATGGTGAGCAGAAGTGAGACAAAATGGTTCTAGAGGCTCAACACCACGTTGCTCTGCACATGGTGGATTCTCAGTTCTGACAAGTGGGTTTAGCTTGAAATGGGAACGTTTTGTACCTGGTTTGAACTGGTTCAGATGACTGACTGTTGCTCCAAGCAATGTGACCCGGAGTCCACAGAGCAACTGGAAAAGGGGCATCCTTTCTGTCTAGTTCTGCCTTGGCACACAGAGAGTAAACAAGCAACTGAAAAAACATCTAGTGGACAGAAAGCACTGATGTGAGAGCAGAACATATACACACATGGGCCAGATTTTTGTTTGTACCATATATACCATATTTTAGCTAATACACAGAAGAAAAAACTTTATTGTGTTGATAATACTAAGGGTGGACTGTTACCATTTATTCATCACAGCTTCGGTGAAAGAAGGATTCAGTGTGTAATTGCTGAGCAAGAGTGGTTCTTGGGACTAAAGCTTGGTCTAAAGTCCCTTCCGGGCTCCACCACAGGATTCTTCTAAGTATCAGCTGCATGCAGCACAAGGAGACAGATCCTACTGTTAACTACGTTGCCCTGAACCTACCATCCAGAGTGGGAATACTAAGACTTAACTCTGATGGAAATGAGAACTGGCACATCGGTACTCTTGTGTGTAAGGAGTTATTTGGATCAAGACTGGTTGGTGACACAGAATAGTTGATGGCTGAACACAGTCCTCCCCATTCTGCTGTCCACACTCATGGCTTGGTTCAAGCTCTGCTTTGCACTTGTGCAGCTATCTACACCTCTGCAGCGTGAGTGTAAAGGAAGGCTAGCCTCTGTGGTGGTATACAGCATAAGGGGCAAGTTCTCAAGGCACAAAAATCCGGTCACCATGTACAGCTGACCAATGTAAACAAGATGAAAGTTAGAACACCTCAGGGAGTCAGCTTCAAAGGAGTACCAGAATCTGTATCAATGTTGGTTTTGTGGGTTGTATGGGAGAAGCAGAGGACTGAGTGAAATAAGTACTCAGATGCAAGTCGATACATAAAATTACCTTCTGTCTTTTACAAGAAAAAACAAGAGAGAGCGAGCATTTTTGTATTCACAATTGCCAATGATTGTAGTTGCTGTGCTCTTTTCTCTCTTTTACATGAGACAAGGAACCATCCCACCAGCTCTCTGTAGCCACAATGAAATTTCAGTAGGAGGAAAAAAAAAATCTCATGATGCTGAGTCTAAAATAGTATTTATTAAAAAAAAGTATTTGTTTTCTAAAACCACTGCTAAGCCTTCTCTGTATTGATTAGTTTGTTGAGTGCAGAGCTAAACAGAGACATGCAGTAAAAAACATTATCATTTTTGCAATACAGACAGGAAGATTTGGCAATGCCTTTGTAATGAAATAGATCAAGAGAGATCGTTTAATGGCCCAGTCCAGAGAATCTGCACTAACTATACTGCATCAAAACCAATGTACCTACTCTTTCAACAGATTACTCAATAATCAGTCTGGTGCAAATTAGTTTAGAAACAGGTCTGATCTGTCGCAATCATTTCACAAAGACAGAAGGAAAGTATGGGGAACCATCCCAATCCCACGAAGGAAATTTCTTCTGGCTACACCTCACAAATGTCTCAATCTGTGTGACCACTCCTTTCTTACAATCCCAAATCCTTTGTGAAGCCCTCCCACTAGGACAGCAATTCCAGAGTGGGTTGCAGGGCAATGACAGCTGTATGTCCTTACAAATTCTTTGTATATGTAGAGCTAGAATTTAGTCTTGAGATTCTTGGAACCAAATTTTGGTGGAAAGGAAACTTCAAGCTTCCTGACTCCAAAACAGTGTTTGCAAGAAGACATGAAAGAAAAAAAAAATTCTTTTCATTTACAGGGAATCTAAATATGTAAACTTTGATCCAAGAGTTTATTTTATCTTACTAAAAAGAACCTAGTCCTGACCACTGTCAATGAAAGAGGTCTGACTATGTGGGCCTCTCCAGACAGTGATTTCTATGGTGTCAAGTTGCCATCTCCTTTCCACAACGCAGCATAGCAAATACAATGTTGGATATTCACACACACAAAAATCGTGTTTATGGAAATCAAATTGTCATGGCAACAGAAGAGGTCTTGCAAGTATTTTAAAAATAGCAAATTAACAAAACCCATTATGAAATCTAAAATCCATTCTTTTATGAATGCACTTAAACAGATACAACAAATGTTTTTCTACCTACGTAAAGAAATCATTTAAACTCAAGATCTCACCTCACCATACTGGCATATGTAATACATATATGCACACAAATAAATATGTCTTTTAAACTTAAAACAGCAAAACTGTTCAGATGGACAGTGTTATACTAATGTAATCATTGGCCTTATTTTATTTCAGGTAAAATATTCTCATATAAATATGATGATTCATACTTCATAAAATGACTCAACTTTTTAACATAGTAAACTTGTAACAATGGCTCATTATAATCTAGTTTATTAATCTTCATTAAAATCTCAGTTCTTCAAGGGCTTATAGCACTTACCTAAAAATGTACAAACACTTATTTAAAACAACATCCTTACTTGGTTCAATTGAAATTTTTTCCAACAAAATCTCGAGATTAATTTGACCATTTAGCCTTTCCATTCTTTATAAACTTGCTTGTGTTATAACTGAAACAAAATGATTATCCACAAATTCAGAGCATTTTTAAGTTTTGTGAGGATATTCATTAACGCTTGTGGCAAACTGAGAGCTCAGCCTAGACAAATCACAAGCTGGCGAGATGCTCGATAATTATCTGTGGTATGTTTAAATTCAATAAAGATGGCAACCTTAGTCCCCTGCACAGTTCCTTGTATTATAAGCATTATTACGAAAGTTAGAAATGCGGCACAGGTCAAACCCCTGAAGTGAACGTGATTATGTTTCCAAGAGTTCCTCTATTGATTGTAGTCACTCTGTAGCAGGATTTGGCCATGATCTACTCTGGGCATATCCTTTCGGTATGCTTATACTGGAACTTTTAATTTAACTTAGAGTATTACCAATCAGCTTTCATCAACCATCTTGTTTATATATACTCATCTGGATATTTCATAATCATATGCTTAAACATGGGTGTCCATGATTTTATCTTGTCTGGCAGAGCTGTAAATTAGTTAGCAATATATCTACTTTTTTAATTTAAAGGCTCAGTATAATATTGCCATCCTCCAGTGCTTAAAAATCATGAATCAAGTTCTCTAAAACTGAGATTTTTAAAAAAATGCAATTCATTCGTTCTCCCCCCATCCCCCCACCTTTTTTTTTTTTTTTTTTTTTTTTTTTTT